AAAAAAAAAAAAAAAAAAAAAAAAAAATAGTAACAAGCAAACCCAAATGTCTTGGATATGTGAGTAACATCGACTCACATAAAAATATTATTTATATTTTCAATTCAATTTTTTTATTTTTAAGCATTGTGCATTGAAGTAATGGTAGTCTATTTATCTACACTAACTACATCATTATCGATCTTGTCCATTATTTTGGCATATAGATGTCACATAGAAGGAACATACACCGTTACATCCTTATATAATTCAAGCTTTACATATGTGGAAGAACCAATAAATACAGCAATTATTGCAGTGAGGACAAATCTTGAAATGCCATTTAAGCTGCATCATTAGCCACAAGAGTACATAATAAGTTAAAACCTGTTAATCATTTTCGCTTTTAAACATTTTCTTCCACACCCTCATCAAAAGATGCCTATTTAATATCCTCAATTGTAATCTTCAATACCATCTTAACAGTTTTGCTATGAAGCCAAACTCCATAGTGACGTCAACTTTCTATATACATTACGTAAATCATACTATTTTTTCTCATTACTTAATTATTTTATTAATATAGTATAGTTTATTTGTTGTATATAGACAGTTGACTCCACTGTTGACTTCATAGCAAAACCAAATATCTTAAACTATGCACTTAAATTTAAAAATAACTGATATACCTAAACATAATGGATGTATACATAATACATGTGTTAAAATCATGTTGTTTTACTCAATACATCAATTTTAAAATCAATTACACATCTATTTATGTTTCTTTTATGTGAAAATAACATTTTCTAGAAAAAATTTGCACTTATTAAGCATTACTTTCTCAAAAGAAGTCTAATGTCACAATGACCCGGATTCAAATTAGGTACTAAAATTTTATCCAATAAATTAGAAAAAAATCCAATTTTAAGAAGTTATAATAAAAAATGAAGAGACTAGTCAATTGGATATTTTATTCTTGTTTCTTTTCTTTTTATTATTTATTATCTTTTCATAAACTACCAAATAAGAAAATTGTAACAACGTCCCACTAAATATATATCGATGTGCCACGACGCTGGACGCGTTTTGGTGAGCTAACTTCCAAAGGCAAAACCATGAGGGAATGATCTGGTGTATACCTAAAGCGGACAATATCTTCCTACGGATTGACTGGGCTGTTACAGTTACAATTTGCGCAAGGATCTTCCTACGGATTGACTGGGCTGTTACAGTTACAATTTGCGCAAGGAGATAGGATCGAACCCACGACCTCGCACGGAGAAACTAGCATCGCACACCACTACACCAAACGCCGTGTTGCGTTTTCAATATAAGTTGTAATCACAATTTATTTTAGGAATCCTTATAAGGGCGCACATGAATACAAATATATCAATTCAAAATGGGTTTTCTGGTCAATCTGGGTTAACTTTTAAAAATAAGATTTTAAGTTTATATTAAAATAATAATTAAAATAAAATAACTAAAATCGATTTGATGCAAATGCATAAGAGAGATGATGTGAAGTGACAACTGGTTAAAACTATATGAATAGTAAATTAAAGTTGATGTGATAAAAAAATTGATGTGATGTGTAAGAATGAGTAAATGATATTATGTAATTACTTAATTATTTTGATAATATTGAGAATAGTGTGATTGAGTTAGATTTTAATTATGAATTGGGTATGAATTATTTCTCCTAGTAAACAAACTCACTCCTTTAGTTAATAGACCAATTCTACTGTCACAATTTTTTACCAGCCCCATCTTGGATATCCTTTAAAATTGTTAGTTGTTACACACGGCATATTATTAATTAAATTATTCAAAAAAAAAATTATTAATTTCTAAATGAACTTATATGTTCTTTTTTAAAATTTTATTTTAAGAAGTCTATTTGATGATAAAAAAATTATGAAAATATATAATAATGTTAATCTCTCTCTCTCTCTCTCTCTCTCTCTCTCTCTCTCTATATATATATATATATATA